AAATTTCCTGGCTTCTTCCGGCGGAATATAAAGCGATAAGAGGGTGCCTTCAATTTAGACTGCATTGTTCGTGTCGTAGTCGTCGTCGTCGTCGTCTGAGGAGCGCGACGAGTTGAAAAAACATTTCTGCCCATGAGAGCCTCGTCTCCTCCTACAGGCCTTTTCTCCTAGGGTAAAACACCTCCACACTCTGATGGAAATCCCATTACCCTACCACTGTACGAACGAGAATGGATTCTCTGTTGTGTAGAGTCCAAATGATTTTAGCTCTGAGGGCGATAGTGCGTCGCACAAAGTGAAGTGAAAAGAAATGCAGGTGTATAAGAGCGAGTATTTTTCAGGCGCTACGGCGAGGCGCCTGTTGTTCGCAAGAGAGGATGGGCGCGAACAGCGACGCCGTAATCTACGAGGAATGCGTGAGACAATTGCATTCGGTGAGATTTCCCATAGCAGACGTAGAACATTGTTGAGGAAGGCGATGTACTGGAGCGATGTTTAAAAAAAAAACGTAAAGATACACAGTACAGTTATCAAGACTTAGGTTGTATTGGTTAGGTTCATCGTGAGAACTGCTCCAGTCAAGAGATAAACATGTCGACGCACGTACTCGAGTGAGTATGCGTGCGTGCGAAGCCCACGATTTAGACGAATGCTCAAGGGCTGCGACAGGCGGAGCTGAAATGGGCTTAGATTTATTTCCGGACTCAGCAGCTGCATCGGGCAACATACGAAAAGTTAGGCGCATGGATATTGAGTTCTTTCACTCTCCCTCCCCCATATCCCACGCGAAACCATGAAGGTGCCCTCGTATTGAAAGAGAGTAACAGTTCCACGCTTTTTTGTTTTCTTCATTTTCCCCTTCAAGAACCTCTATGCGATACGCGTATAACCCTGTTCATCTTCGAAGAGTGACTTCAGAATGACCACTTTTTTGTGTGTGTCTACATTAGTAGAGGAGTGAAGTTGTTGGTTTTGCCGTGCTGAATATACTAGGGAGGAACACCTGCGTAGCGTCATGAACTTATTTCCCATAATCAAGACATTTTTTAATAAAAGACAAATTTGTAAACAGCAGTACGTTGAAAAAGAAGCAGCACGCTTTTTTATGGAATGTGTTTCATTCACAGCTAATTTTTTTTAGGGTGAAGCCCCTTGGGGTATGGCTTGTCGGCGTGTCGTATTGTCGTTTCTGTCCATCATAGAGAGATAGGCACCACAAACAGTTTTGAAATTTTACTACTTGCCACAGATCTACACAATGCATATTATCAGTTAAAGGTTCGTTGTCACTGCCTAACACATTATGCAGCAGAGGTTTAGTTTAAAAATTCGCTTCGGCACTCAAGTTTCTTATCGAAAAACAGAGACACGAATGTGCTTCTCTGCTCTAAAGTGAATCACCACTTCACCAACTATGCGAGCAAAGTTATGGTGCGTTAGTGCATCGACGGCAAGCAGTAATTACGCAAGTAAAATGCCACTATAAAGGGGCTCTTCCATAGTAGGCGTTTAGCGGGACGCCTCAGTGCTCTCCCATAGTTTAATACGATGTACTCGAAATCGTTAAAATGTTTTTTTTTCTAAACACAGCAGCTAACAGGAAAATGTGTGAACTACAACAACGTCATCAAAAGGTTGTTGACATTTTTATCTTTAAAAATGGCTATTGTGAGGAAACCCCGGGACACACTGCATGCTTTGGTCTTCTCTGGGTTTTGCATTGCAGGAGCGGAAAATCTCTTCCCTATATGCCCTTTCTCAAAAAAAAAAAATTTCTTTAGCGGCATGGTGTTCAGTAGCTTTTTTTTTAATGAGCACCTAAATAAAAGCACGTCATACAAAAAAAGGTGGTTGAAGTGTAATACAGCTGAAAAAAATATTTCAGCAAAACGTAACGGAGAAAACTGTACACGTTTCGAAGTTGAACGATAATTATTCGGAGCATTTGTTTTCCTTTTTTTCTCTCTCTCTAACTGCACCCTTTTTTTTGCCCCTAATCACCCCCCCCCCCCTAGCGCTGGGCAGCAAACTGGATGCTTATATCTGGTTAACCTCCCGGCCTTCTTCTTCATCTCTCCTTCTCTAGGCAAAACCGAGTGTGGACATTATTGGTGGCTTCTAGGTAGCTGCGCTCTTACTTTCTGCATGCATTATTGCTTATAGTCCAGAGATAAAACTTGAGGACAGTAAAGTGACACGATGCTTCGGGACCGCTTCAGTCCCTTCTTCGGGGGTACTGCTTGGCCGGCTCCGAAGCTAGCGATTTTTCTTGGTGCATGGATATTTCGCAGGGTACATGTACATATTGCCTCACTTTCTCCACTCGAAGACCAATTATTTCAAGGAACTGTTCCAAAGTAAAACTAGGTGGTGAAAGCGTTGGTGTTTATTTGAAATAAACTCAGAGCACGTTAGGCTTATGAGTGGATCATAAGCTGCCCCGGAAAGAGCTCGCAGTTGATTGTGTTTAGAGTGAATTGAGAACACTTTAGAGGCGTTACCAGCACTCCGCTATGGGAGAGCCATAAGCTGTCCTGCTTAACAGATCGAGAGTCCATGCTTTGCGATATTCGCTTCGGGAACGTTCGAAGAATGATTACGAAAATAATAGCACCTTTCCAGCTTTCTTAACAGCTTTATGGAAATAATATAATTAGTCTATTTACCTAAGTAGCTAACAAATCAAAACGCTATACTTGTTTTGTGGTGTAGCGTTCGTAATTAACAGTACCGGGAATTGTAGCTTTATGTTAGGGGCTGTATATTCCGAAATTTCCAGCGAGACATCACATACAAAGCGAGAAAAGAAAATGTAGCCTGGCAGCGGTAGCTGTGCTTGAACGTCGTAGAAGAGCCGTGACGCTACGTCGGCATAGAAAACTCCGTAGACGCAATAAGAGAAGCAAACCAACCCTATCGTCTTCACGCATAACACGAGATCGGAAACTAATAAAACAATGATAACACCCCAAGGCTTTTAACTAGGATCAATTACAAGGTTAGTCACGTTTATGCCATGACGTTTCCGAAGCACGCCTTCTTTCTGCTGGTCGCGCAGACAATCACAATGAAAACAGAGTGACATGGTGTTCCCCTAGTCTCACAATAATAAAAAAAAACATCATTTCTGATGAGATACGTGCAAGGCTAAAGACCCGCGATAAACGTAAAAGCAAATCACACGAAGTCAACCAGGGGCGTTGTCTCCGGTGGAACGCCATTACGCAATACAGAGGCCAATCACGTTAGCCATCTTCAGGCAGTGCAGTAAAGAATCGCCTCGAGGACTATCAATAACGAGGGCGTCGGTCATCGGGGCACTCATTCGTAAAAGGGGGCCCTCATCTGATACCGCTATTTGTCTGGCGGTGACAAAGGGGCGCCCTCACGTCCGCAAGGTTGACGACCTTCAGGGATTACGCGGCCAGGGCATTCCCTTGTAGCTCATGGTTGACTTGTACAAGTCCTTCAGTCATTGTCTCGCTATTATTTTGCTATCTTGTCACACTGCTTTCGCCGTTGTTTAGTATGGTATTTGCTTTTTTCCAGATATTTTTGTCTCTGCTCCTGAAGATAATTATGGATGAAACCATTTAGACAGGCAGGCTTAATCGCTGCATTTAGTCATTTCAACCTAGACAATGTATATCTAAACAACACCAATAAAAAAAACTTTCGCTATTAAACAGGAAAATAATTGCCGTCTAAAAGAAGTTCCTGCTTCGGTGAGGGCCTACAAATGTTACGTGAAAAGTTCATGGTAGAAAAGGAGGAGAATTAAACATTCATTTGTTAGTGCTGTTAATTTTACTAACTGTATGAACATTATATATTACTTTCAAAACCAGATATAGTGTCTTGAGTGATGACACAAAGTAATATGTAGAAATTTATTAGGACAGGACCCATTAGTTTATTATATGTATATATTATTTTGTTTTAATTAGGTCAATACATGAACAAAAAAGAAACTTATGAGACTATTGTCAAGAAACAAAGAAGCGTTCGTGTTATTCATGACAGTATCCTTACACACCTTATCGATGGCGTTCACTCACCGTGCTTCTCTTCTCACCATAGCAAAAGCCGCATATGCTAGGTTGCCTTCAGTACTGATCAGCCAAAATTAAGTTGCTGTACACAAACATTTGGTCATTCTATAGCCGCTAAAGCCTACAAATAAGGAACTCAGAAGGACCCCCATGCATGAATCTGAGACGACTCGTCGGCGGTAGCCATCGTTTTGTCTCACTCAGTGTTTCGACCCAGCTTCACCCCTCTACAAATGTTCTCTCTACTTAACGTGGTTTTCGCGCTATGCCCAGGAATGGAAGTGCCTCTACTGGTTTTTCCCTGCTTCCGTTTGGTTCACCTTAAACCAAGGCATGATGTCCTGATGACAACCTCAAGGACGTCACACGAACGACGTCACAATGATGTCGTTATGACCTCAAAATTTGAAGCTCTGTGACGTCACGATGACATCATACAAAAGTCAAGCTACGCCAACTGCGCTTTGCCTGCCATTCCGCTACACAACAGAGCCATGCTGGGTAGCTTTCGTAGTATACATACATACTTTCTTTTGCTGACAATGTATATGCTACGCATTTTAAGTAACTAAAGTTCGTCGTCCCCAACATAGATATTACGTTTGCCCGGATATCCACGCCTGAATTTCGGCTGCAAACAACAGAAAAGTTTCTCCACCGAACACCCGCGCGATGTGAACATGTATCTGCATTTGGCAATCACTTACCTGAAATAAGCGAGAAGTGCTTGATGTCACCCAAATGAGCAAATGCGATAGGATGAATTCTCTCTGGGTGAATAAGCGACGGTTGTAGGCAGATACATTTATTATCAGCTTGAAACCGTCCATATACACGAACCGACCAAACTCGTACTGAATCTTGAATTAAATATTTTGGATGTACAACTATAGCCCCACCTTCCGATAAGTAATAGCGAGATAGAGAAGGGCAAGAGCCAGGACTCACCAGAACGTAGACGGCGAATGGCATGACAGCGGCTGCCACAAGCAGGTCGGCGAACGCGAGGCTCACGATGAAGTAGTTTGTAGCCGTCTGCAGGCTCCGCTCTTTGTACACGCTGAGGATGATGAGGATGTTACCGAACACGGCGAGGAAAGGAAGGATGACGAGCATCAGGGCCCAGTAGACTTTCTCGGCCGGTTGCTGCGCATCCCCAGGCAGTCTGGAGGCCTCGAGGGCCGAGTCGTTGCCCGGTGCCAGACCCGCGTCGGGCCACGAGCAGTTGCCCCCGCCACGAGGGTCCCACGGACAAGTGACATCACCACCACCACCACCGGGAATCACCAGTTCACCCGTCAAGTTGCCGGTGAAGTTCGCCAGCCCGGCAGCCGCGGCCGCTGAGGAAAGCACCAGAGTCTCGTTGGAGAAGGAAGCGTTAAGCAACGCCGCCTTCGTCACCTCTAGAGTCACATTGTACGGCGCTGCCGTACTGATCGCTCGATCCATGCCCAACACCGGCATTATGGCGTCGCGAGCAAGCCGTCGTTCGGCGTAGCAATTTTCATCTTTATCTTGGTGGTCGTCAAGCCTCTAACGAAACAAGGCCGCAATTTCTGTCGTTTAGTGAGCAACGTCGCGGCACCGTCTTCGATATCACTCGCTGTTTTGCAAGGCAGGCTTCACTCGCTATGTCTTCGGCAGCCCGTAAAAGAATGCCGGTACAGGGCCGGTGGACCGTTTTACCTCTTGAAGGTACAAATGCCGAAGTACACGGCCGTTTGAAGCAGTCGCAGTCATAGTAGCACTAACATCGCATGAACGCGAGGCTACTTTATTGAAAGAGAGCCTTCGTGGAATTGACTAGCGATCATACCGTATAGTAAAGTACGTTTGTTGATGGCTGTTTTTTTATCTACACATTCCAAAACATTTTGGAGCCATTCAAATGCAAAGATAGTTGAATCACAGCGCTGTCTGAAGATAGCGCACCGTGACCTTAGTCCAGAGAAGAACCACATCAGGGCAACTACGGCACGCAAAAATGCACGTCGGTCAAAGATCCATGGTCACAGCTGAGAGCGGACAGAGTGTTTGGTCGTGACCTCTAGAACAAGCCGCAACTTCTCACTTGAGTCACGCAGACATCATACAGTAGAGCCTACACACACAAGAACAAAAAAAAACAGCCTCAGCAAAACGGGACTCACTGACAAGTAGGCGAGGGCGTCTCTGAGGGATCAGTATCGAGATCAACGACGCTACGCCTCCGAACAGTTGGCCACAGTCATTGCTTCACCGCCCGTGGGGTCTTAGTCGATTCGTTAAGGTGGCAAGGTCCGAACGCTTTCCTTTTTCGGTCCGAAGACACAGACTTTGCCAGAAGCACGCACGGACAGCGGGGAAAGATGGACGACCGAAGGTACGACGGGCTGCCTGGAGGAAGCGGGTCTTCGTGGGCAAAGCACAAAGAACAGCCACCTCCAAAACAGGATGTCCGGTCACTCGCTGCTCGTCCTTTCTGGCGTTTAGTTTCAGTCTACTCACTTCTCCTCCACCCTCCTTCCCGGCGGGGCACCACAGTCTCGCGGACGAAGCGAATGCCTCCGGATGGTCGTTAGTCCTAGCGATTTGTCGCAACCGCCACAGTACCGATTCCTTGCTTCACCATCACGCACCGGAAAGCAAAGTGCTCAGCGAGGCCCGGCAGCCAGACAGACGCAGAAGGAAGCAACCCGAAGGGCACAACGTCGTTTTCTCCTGGTTTTTCGTTTTGTTCCTTTTCTTGCTTTTGCTGTTTGTCAAGGTCGAGACTGCGTGGGTAGCAGAGGAATCGGCTGGTTTCTGGTTAGCTTGCTCCTTTTACACACTCGACTGCGTGCTGCGTGTGGACTCTAATTAATTCCCTGCGAGAGGAATAAAGAGAGAAAGAAAGGAAGCATGTGTGACAAGGGAGTGAGAAGAGAGTCAACGCTGCGTCGCACAAGAGGCAAAAATCAGTGCCAGACTATCGAAGCATACAAGCTTCTGTTCCGACACTAGCAACGTCACTCGTATGCATCTTAATTTAGGGACAACTTGGGCTTCCACTGCACTTGGTCATTCATTAGTTTTAACTACCCCCACGGAGTAAAACAGAAAAAAAAACACGACTGATCCCTCTGTCATAGCAATCGGTGTGACATGACAGTGAAACGTGCCTTCACAGAAAGAGTTGAGCGTTTATTGCGCATTGTTTCGCCACAAGGGCGAAGGAATGAGTGCTACAGCAACAAAATGTAATGTCCCACGAAAGACGGCGAGCAGCTAGAAACATGCAACGCGCTGCTCAAGCAGAAGAGAAGCATGCAAAGAAGGTACACAGAGCAATTAGGCTCCAACAACTGTCACAACTCGGCATTTAAAGCACGCTGCTCAAACACAGAGGACGCACGAAACGAACGCACAGATATACATATATTACGAGCACAAACTACCAGCTGTCACAGTTGTAACTTCTTTGTGTGTGAGCGCCGCGCTTCTTTCCGGAGCGCAGTCACTGCTTCGTCCTTTCTGTAGATATATCGCAAACCTGTGATGAGGGTACAAGCACAAACTGCCCCAATTATGAAGATAAGTGCGCACGCATCGCGAAGCGTGGAGCAACGATCTTCAAAGGGCGCCGTTCGAGCCCGTGGTGCTATTCTGGACACTGTTTAATTCCATCATATAGCCAAATTTCGTAATGGCGGCATTTTAAGCCAATCGGAGAGGTCGTAGCAGCTCACTTATGTAATTAGCATCGATCAATGACGGAATCTGTCAACATGGAGGAATTCGACAATGTCCAGAATAGCACCCCTGGTCTGCCATTGCGCTTGTGATCACGAAAAGACACTGGAGTCAACGATCTCAGCGTACCACCAACGGCCAGTTGTGTACATAAACAGCTTGCCGTTACTATGCTGAAATGCGCGCTGCTTGGTACCGTGTCGTTCCGTGCCGCAGGCGGTGAAGCGAGGGAGGGTAAGCTCGACTCCCGGCGTAGAAACTTTTAAAGACGATATTAAAGAGGATAGTCTTTCTTGGGGACCTTCGACGGAAAAAATTTTGTCTGCGTGTCTGCCCTAACGATACCTTAAATGGCACTGTCACGTGTAAATATCGCAAAAACGTCGACGTGGACCTTCAAGCACTGAGGGACAAAAAAGAAAAGCACGCTGGCACGTTGTAAGCAATAATGCAGTTATTGTTCATATGAGACTATATGTCCTCTTGGCCAATCCCCCAGAGTGGGTACGAGCCAAGGATTAAAGGATACAAACAAACAAACAAACAAACACGGTGGCACCGGGCCACCGCGCTAAATTTCGATGTCTAAATTTCGATTACTAAATTACAATGTCGTGTCTCCCGCCCCCTAAACCTGTATCTACACAGAGCTGGTCAGACAAAATCACCCCTCTGCGCATTCTGCGGAGAAATGGAATCACGAGAACATTATTTTTTGTATTGTGGCCGCTACGCTATACTTCGAAAAAGGTTACTAGTTATGCGATTTCTGAAAATAGGCGTTAGATTAACGGCGGAAACGGCGCCAAGCTTTGGTGCCTCAGTTTTGGTACATTGCCACAGGGATGCTTTCAATGCCGTTTGGGATTATATTCAGGCAACCAAGCGTATACCGTTGTGATCTTCAATCAAAAAATTATTATTTATTAATCCCCAGGGCAAAGTGAAGTAAACGCAGCTGAGTGGTAATCATAACACCTCAAATATCCAAATTGCTCAACTTGACTTTTCTATTTTTTCTCGTTTGCTCTTCTTTATGTCGTTTTTTACATTACTCCTATTAAAATAAACATTCATTACACATAGTTAAAATGATCACAGAAAAAGTGCACTACACTTTCTTGGCCTATCTCCCTGAGTGGTTATGAGCCAAATCCCAGGGAAACAAACAAACAAACACGGTGGCACAAGGCGCACTCGCTGTGTTCGGACCAGGCGTGCAATTCGGAGCTCGGACGAGCGAGACGGTCTGCTGAGCAGAGACGCGGGCGTGTGCACGGAGGACCATGGAGCCGTGCAAGGTCCAGGGTGGCCGAGGATCCAGGGGCCAGGGGAGTTGCTGGCTGAATCGAGCGGTGCCGAGCCGTACCGAGTGACGCGCCAGACTCGGACGTGGGCCGCGAGCTCACGAGCTGTGCACCCGAGGGTACCTGGCGGTGCCCTGGTCAAGGCTAGGAACGCCAGTGACTGAGTCGCCGCACCGTAGCTGTGGCGAGCAGCATTTCAGCGCGGCACAGACGGTGCTGTGCTAGCCAGAACCCGCACGTGGAACCGCTACGCCCGGGCTGGGGATGTACGCTGCTGTGGCTGGCTCGACCACATCAATGGAGGCGTCCTCGGTTGCGAAGATGCAGCAGAGGCTGCCTATGTCTATTGTTTCAGCCGTCACGGACGTGGTCATTAAGCAAGAATAAATCCTCGATCGGTGGTGTGCGGATAAGCTCCTCATCGCGCTCCTAAGTGGCGCAGGCACTACCTTAGGTGACTCGTTGGGGTCAAGCAAGGTTTTAATGTCGCAGTTGGGCGTCATGGTGTCCTCAGGTTGAGTGACAGGGCACACACGACGCCGCCGCCGCCGCCGCTGCGGTGGTGGTGGCTTGGGCGACGCCGGCAAGTACTCTAGCAACCAGGCCAACGCTGTGGATTCTAGTCGCGGCGGTGTAGAGACTGTGGCAGGAGGCGCGGGAGGTGGTAGAGGTTGGACACATGTCTGATGGTCACCATCGGAGCCTTCCTTATAGGCGTCATTGGCTGTGCAGTTGTCATCGCTGGTAGTCGGGTCACTAGCGGAATCTGGCGAGTTTAAGGATGTGTCCTCCCTCCTGATATCACTGCAGTGGCACGTATTGTCAGTGCAACTCTCCGGTAGTTTAGCGCTTAGCGACGAGTGAGCGAGTGATGATGTCTCCAGGCTGACCATCTCCTCGCGGTATTCGTGATGCGGCACCTTGTTGCGACACTGCGGGCACCCGTGGTATTGCATGATCCCGCAGTAGCAGTTTTGGAAGGCTGCCTTGTACAAGGAATCATGGTGCTTCTGCGCCTTGGACCGCAGCTCCCCACTCTTGCGATTCACTTCCGGCAGCAAGTCTGGCCGCCCTTTTGCAAACGATCTGTTCCTAAAGAAGTGAAGGCCGGTCTTCTCGCTGTCGAGACTGCAAGGGGGACTGATCTTCCGAAATCCATACAAGTTGAGCTGTCTGATGAAACTTGCCGATCTTTTTTGTCTTGAAGATATCGGAGCGATTATCGAGATAGCCAACCTGGAACTTCATGTAGTCAATCGCTATGGCCGAGCCGTCCACGGACCAGGAGATAGCGCCCGATTTGCAATCATTGACGATCTTCCACAGTTTTTCGGGAAATCGTAACGCGAGCAGAGGCGGATCCTTGGAAGCAGAAGAGTCTGGTGCCTTCTTGCCACACCTTCTCTTCAGAGAAGTGCCACTCTTTTTCTTCGAGGCGTCCTTAGGATGCATGGCAAGCCGAACGCTTCGTTCTCAACCCCTAGCGATGACGTGTCTCCCCGCCTTCTTCGAACGTTCTACGTTCGGCACGAGCGCTTGATGAGCTGGATTCGCGTGCCGAGATTTCAACCATGTTACCCCCCACTTTCCTCCTCTCAGACTGTGAACATTCTCTATCCTCACGCTTAAAAAAGTTGTTGAAGAGAAACAACTATCTAAAAAGGGGGGTAAAATGTCACGTGTAAATATCGCAAAAACGTCGACGCGGACCACCAAGCACTGAGGGACAAAAAAGAAGAGCGCGGTGGCAGGTGGCGAAAATCTTACTGAATTAAGTCATCGATTCTTGGCCGATCTCCCTGAGTGGGTACGAGCCATGGCTGTGTAATCATCATCATCATCATCATCATCATCATCATCATCATCACGGTGGCACGAGGCGCGCTCGCAATGTTCGGGCCAGGTGTACAATTCTGAGCTCGGACGAGCGAGACGTTCTGCCGGGCGAGACGTGGGCGTGTGCACAGAGGACCACGGAGTCGAGCGAGGTCCAGGGTGGCCGAGGATCCAGGTGCCAGGGGAGTTGCTGGCTGAATCGAGAATCGCCGAGCAGTGCCGAGCCGTACCGAGCGACGCGCCAGACTCGGACGTGGGCCGCGAGCTCACGAGCTGTGCACCTGAGCTGTGCCCTGGCCAAGGCGAGGAACGCCGGTGCCTGAGCTGCCGCACCGCAGCTGTGGCGAGCAGCATTTCAGCACGGCACAGACGGTGCTGTACTGGCCAGAACCCGCACGTGGAACCGCTACGCCCGGGCGGTGATCAAGAGCTCGGAAACGAGGTCGCGCTGGTCCAGGCATCTCCTAGACGACGCCACCGCTGCTCGAGAGTCATGAGTCCACGGGACTGTTCTTCCTCATGCATGTGCTGTGGTGGTCGTCCCGACGGCGTCGACATCACTGGCTTTTCATTGCTTTTGTTTTGTACAAAAACGTTTGAACTTGTCTACCTGTCTGTTTCCTGCGCCGCTGCACAGTAGTGGAAGTGCTCGAACCGTGCTGAACATCACAGGCACCAAACGGACAACCCCATCCACAGCGCCCACCGATATTGCTCAAGGTTTAGCGTTCATAGTTGTGCGATTGTCAATTAAAAAAACAAATATTGCGAATATCTGAGGCGCCATAGCATGTCTATGTTTTGTATGTCTGCCTTTACACTAGAAGAGGCACACAATTAAGTAGCTCTAAGGACTGTAGCGTTTAACGCACTGCGCTGACAGTGCAACGCGATGCTCAAGAAGTTGTTTCCAACGCTTTGCTACGACGGCACGGTGGTGGCACCTGCCCGTCGCTTTGCATTCTACACCTTATCACCTCCGTGACTGGCGCGCATCTTTATCCGTGGTCACGCACGCCTTCGTTTTCGAAGATAACTGCCAGATGGCGCTCGTGCCTAACGTGCCTAAATGCGCTTGTTGCTTCCGTTACACGCTCGAGTCACTCTAACGCAGCGCCTCCAGAATACCATTCACCAATTTTTCTGCGCATAACATCAAATAAACGTTTTTTTCTCTCGCTCCAGACGCAAGACTATCGTCTCCCGACAAAATTTAGAGTGTAACATGTAGCTTCGGGCCAATTTTTTCTTCAAGTTTTTTTTTCGCTAGTTAGCGTATATTCTACAGCTTCATATCCATGGCGGAAATTCGTCAGTGGAGCCGTGTGGATTGTGGCATTAAAAACTCGTAGTTAAAAAAAAAGAACGCTATATTGCACACAAACGCAAACGACTTGCGTTAATCTCTTGTGTTCGTATGTTTTTGTTGTTCGCGTCTTATTCTGCAGCACTAATGAAAGCTTACGAATCTTCGCGAACTCGCAGAATTGCCAGTATTTCGTAACACGTGCGCAGACATTTGCGCACCTGCTGTGGTAGAAGAAAATGCCCCTGCATTGTTTATCAAACTTTTTGGAATACTATAGAGGGCAAAACGCCGACACTCAGAAAAATAGCAGGTGCAAGAAAGGAATTTTCGGTCTTCTCAATGTCTAATTTGCGCCCTAATGTTGTGGAAAGCTATACACTATCTCGCTTACTTTCAAATTTTGTTTAGCGAAGTTTTGTTCGACAACATTTCAAATGACAAGGTGCCCTGGAGGAGACTCCAACTTTATAGTGTAAACACTCCCATCACTTGTTTTTTAAATGCAAAGCATTTCTTAGCGAACTTCGGTGACTTTAGGCAAATCTATCTATCTATCTATCTATCTATCTATTCTATCTATCTATCTATCTATCTATCTATCTATCTATCTATCTATCTATCTATCTATATCTATCTATCTATCTATCTATCTATCTATCTATCTATCAATCAATCAATCAATCAATCAATCAATCAATCAATCAATCAATCAATCAATCAATCAATCAATCAATCAATCAATCAATCAATCAATCAATCAATCTATCTATCTATCTATCTATCTATCTATCTATCTATCTATCTATCTATCTATCTATCTATCTATCTATCTATCTATCTATCTATCCGCCTATGACTTTAAGCTCTCCTGGCCGTTTCGATAATGGTATCGATACCAAACTTGGTATGGCATGACATGGCTGTATTAAGAACACATTTGACTAGTCTTAACATGAAAATTATGACATGTATGTCATGAATGTCATGATTTGCATTTCATTGTCCTGCAGCTCTTGTGGTGGTTTAGTTCACATGACATGTTGCAAACCTGGTATGGTATAACATGACTGCACGGCGAACACAAGCGACAGACCCTAACATGAAAATGGTGACATGCCTGTATTGTAACAATATGACTACTTGCCACGCTCATGTTGCGCTCGTGGCCGTTTCGCTAGCGTCACATATACCAACCTAATATTACGGTACGTGAATGGATGACGAAGATACGTGACTGGTGCAAACATAATAATGAGATGCGTGTCACGTAATAACATGACTACATGCCACGCTCATGATGCACTAGTGGCCGTTTCGCTAGCTTCACTTATACCAAATTTGGTATTATGCGATGTGATTAGCTGACGAAGGTATGATGCTGGTGCAAACATAATAAACATTAGATGCGTTTATGTAACAACATGACTACATGCTACGCTCATGATGTGCTCACAGCCGTTTGGCTAGCTTCACATGTACCATACTCGGTATATGTGACGCGAACGGACAACATAGGTAAATGAAACATCCAAACATGATAATCACGACATGCGTGTCATGTAACAACATGGCTACATGCCATACTCATGAAGCGCTCACGGTCATTTTGCTAGCTACACATATGCCAAATTTCGTATTACGTGACGCCAATGGATGACGACGGTATATGACTGGTGCAAACATGATAATCATGAGATGCGTTTCATGTGAGAACATTACTACATACCACAGTCAAGGCGGCAATATCTTTAGACGTGACGTGGTGCGCGTGCTCGACGACATTCTTTTGTTTGCGTCATGCCGGCATTGTCACGCCTGGCGCCGGTCCTGCCATATATTCACAGGCGCGCGCGCTGCGTTGCTTTGACGCATGCGCGTATCAGTGCGTCCGGCGTCCCTAAATCTCGAGAAAAGGGAGACGCAGTGTTGTCTGGGTAACGCATCGGCGCTAAATTCAGCATGTCAACGCTACATTAGAATATGTTCAGCCCTTGAGGATGCGCTCCCGGCCGTTTTGCAAGCTCCACATATACCAAATTTGGTGTTACGTGCCGTCAAAGGATGACGAAGGTAATCGACAGATGCAAACATGATAATCATGACACGGAAGTCATATACGGCATCATTTACCTCCACCTCGTAACGTTGTGCTGATTTTAAAGCGACATATCAACATTTCTCATCCATGCTTTTCATCCATGCTTTTCATCCATGCTTTTCATGGATGCTTTCATCCATGCTTTTCATCCATGCATGGATGCTTTCATCCATGCTTTTCATCTCATCCATGCTTTTCTCATCCATCCCACTGTACGTGGGATCTGCCTTTTTTTATTTTAGTAGCAACGACAGAAAAAGTCAGATGTAATATAGCTGTAGAGAGTCATTTTCTTGCCGTCAAATATAGAAAATGATGGTTAAATATATGCCTACGTTCCACATGTTCAATATCACTACAGCAAATTTCTTATTTCCGAGTCTTAAGATGAGGAAGAAAGGGATAGAGACAGATAATGAAAGCAACGAAAGACAGGAAGGTTAACCATGTGCACGTTTCACTCGACGTGCTGTCGAACACGAGGGGAGGGGATATACAGAAAGTAGTATTAGTTAAATCAGGCTGCCTAGGCCGCTGGAAATGCTTTTACAGCACTATTGGTAGTGCGAAACTGTACATATACAAAACGGTTTCACGAATAGCTATATCATATAGTACGCCATCATCTGGGAGCCATTGCAACAGACATAACTGGCAGATAATCATACTGGTAATAATGAAAATTGATAAATATAGACGGCAACGCCATGCTTAGCTTGTTCAACCATAAAAAATACATAGTTACGCCTAGAACAGTCCGCTAGTCATGCTCATCCATCAACACTAACCTCCTTAGTTAAGTGTAGGCGATATAAGTATCAGAATATATGAGAAAATTGTGACGTTCATAGTTATCAGGAGAAAAGGCAGAATTCTTCAAAGCTACCGTTTACACATATCTCTAATAAACAGCAGATTCAATCCAGCGTTCCACGTGTCGTGAAGTGCAATCTAAAGGTGTATTTTGTACATTTGTTACCATGAATAAAATCATTTACCTTTTCTTTAGTCTCACTAGTAGATATCACGCCTATCGCAACACCTGTGCCGTAGCTATGTGCTTAATGTGCGAAGCAGGTTTTTTTATAATACTAGTTAGGAGTTCGCTCCTCTTGATAAAAATGAAAAATTGCGTTAAGATCACGAAGTTCATGCTCATAGCCCGTGCACAAACTTTTTCTTTCTTTATTAGTATTTTTCATTTCCCAG